AACAGACTCATAATTCAGTTACAATAATTTCTTCAACTGATTAGTCACTTATTTGTTCAGATGATAAGACGACAAGCATGTACCACCTTCATGTCATTTTCCTTCTGAACGGAAGAATGTAAATACCAGTTGTACTTTGTAGGGTTGGGGTTTTTCCTCCATTGTTACTACCCAGAAGTTCCAGGAAAAATTTAACAAGATGCATGGAACTGTCCCAGCAACAGCAGTGTCTAATGCATGCAGAGAAACGGAGGGTGTAAGCAGACACACAGACTCTAGCTGGGTGGCTCGACTGTTTTGGCTCTGTCTCCGGATTACAAGGTTTTGCAAAAGTTTTCTTTCTATGTAGTTTTCAAAATTAATAAAAGACAAAACAGCCTTAGTCAATGGCACTATTTTCTGACTGATGAAGTTCATTATACTACCCACACAAATCAGCAAAGACAAACTAAGTTCAGTAAATGTTATTTTCTAAACAGTTCATCACAACTCAGTTGTCAGACTAAAATTCCCTTCAAAACAAAGCAAGTCTTTTAAATTATTAGTGCTACTGGGAGCTTTAATAAATTTAATCCTTATAGCAAATTAACAAAATAACATTTTTAAAGAACTATCTATCTTCAGTCAGTTTTTTTATCTTGCACAGACACTGGGTATTTCATTAACTAATCCTAAATGCTCAATCCTAATCCAACACAATTCTACAAATACTTAAACATACATAACTCAGATGATTAAGTTCATTGATTTCAGCGGTTAAGATTATTCATCTTAATAACACTATGCACAGATAGAAGTGCTTCCCAGAGTGGGCCTGAAAAATGTAACATTATTTATATTTACTATAAAACAGTAATTATAAAAATAACTTAACAACTGAGTTTATTTAATATATACTGTAAAGATTAACATCAGTTTTGAAAGCAGTGGATTATAAGACAATATAAACTTACAGACTTTTTGGGGATTTGCTATTTAGAATGATACTGATTTCAATTTAAACAGTTTTTGCCATGGGTTTCACGTATGGGTTGGCATAACCCACAAAATTGATCTTCTCCGTATTTTAGTGAGCTGTTGCTGATGCCACGTTGCAGAATTCACGTGGGCCACAGCAACTGTGTGCCTTACATCTGTACACAAGGGTGTGTTATGCCTCCGAGGATTTAAGCCTTAAGCTCAAAAACTCGTTCTGTTATACCAAGGAGACAGAGAAGTATCATCCATACCCTCTCATAGAGGCTACTTAGTTAAAGCTGATGTAGCCACAGATAATAGCAGGGCTGCCTTGCGGGTTTGAGTACATTCAAGTACAGCCTTTTTGTCATACTAATTCCACTACTGCGGCTGCTGTACTCCGGGTGACATCGGGCTCACGGCAGCCTCAGAGATTGCTCTTTGATCACTATGATCAGGAGAAGCTGCTCCTGGTTTCTTTCTGAACAGCTTTCTCACAGGAAAATTCTGTTTGGGTTAACATTTAATTTTGAAAGATTTTCTGCTGTGCTTATTTGCAGAGCAAGAGCTTGTTTGCTCCCCAGATGGATTAAGGTGCGCTTGAACCTTCTTTCCATGCAATCGGAAGTATTGCAAGTATTTGGCTATTTGAGAAACCAACTATGCAGAGACCTTAATGCACAATCACTATTTTAATATTACCTGTTACACTTCAAATCCAGAAATCATCCGCACTAGGGAAAAAAATGATCCGGTGCACTAAGTCAAATGGAGGTTACAAAAATATGGTTATTCTACACCAACTGTTAAATTCCTGCTTCTCCCACCCGGCATAGCTGCGAAATACTGCAGTGATTGCATCCGAGGAGATAATACATCCAGCCCTGAAGAAACTGAATGGGAACAAATTCTGACATCTCTCTACCCTATTATTCCATACACTTTACACACTATTCTTTTTGAAACAGATTTGTGTAACGCTGCACCATACTGACAATTTGCCCTTGTGGACACAAGTTTTCAGAAAAAAGCCTGCAGCTTAGAATATTAATCTCTGGTATCTAATAGCAGCATCTTCAGTACCAGAGCACAACTAACTGGTTTATAAGCCATGTTACACGTCCTGTTACATCGTCACCACCTGACACAGAGGCATTAAACTCCGGCCTGGAGAAGGTGGGCTTTGGGCTTCCGCAGCAGTCCAACGCCCCCAGAAAGCGTTACACAAGAGTAGGGTAAGTAGGCAGCCACTTAAAAAACCAGATTCTGATTCTCTCCTGTGAAGACACAAATCAGTTACATTTGCATGCTACAAATAATTACTCTGAAGTACACAAGAAATACCTGATCTTGTTACAATCACACTCTTCAGGTCGCTTCTTCTTCAGATGACCTCTCACCTCCCTCAGGTTTTTTATTTTATTTTGCAAAGTTTCAATCTAAAGAAAGTAAAAATGCAGCTTAAAAAAAATACAGCAGGATCTAGTCTTGTTCTAACCTTCTCAAACCCATTCTGTTGTCACCAAATGCTTCCTTTTCACCACCTCCCGTGACTCCCACCACTAACAAGCATTTTCAGGTTATCTACTTTTCCAAAAGGAAACCACAGCAGGAGGAAACCTCGCTGTGCAGCCTACCAGCTCTGATTACTGAACGGGAAAGTGGAACGTGGCCCTGGGGGAACGGGAGGGCGCACAGCCTCAGGTAGACAGCCACTCCTGGTTCCATTGTGATTTTTCCTCTTGTGCTCTACGGCACATTTGCGAGGGGAGAAAGGTTACTCAAAGGAAAATGAAGCCCTTAAATTTCAGCCTGGTATGAACCTGAGAAGGAGGTGGGGAGGGAGTGCTCTGAAGTCCCCTCTTCAGAGCTTCTGAAAAAGAAAAGCAGCAAGGCTCCATCATTTTGCATGGCAGCCTTTAGCAACGTCTGGCCACGTGGGACACGGATTAGCAGTTAAATGTGCCACTGACACAGTTGATTTTTAACTGCCTATTTTTTTATAGTAAATGAAACTACTGCTTTTGTTCAGTCTAGCTGACAATCAGTGTGGCCCGTTTCCACTCAGATGGATATTACAGGCTTCTACTTCAGTTCTTTACGCAGCAGAAAAAACAAAATAATCCAGTATGAACAAAGTCACTGCAAAACTACCATTGGACATCAGTGACCACAAGTCTACTGGAAGCACATGGCAGCGTTCAAGAAAAATACGCAAAGAATCCAGCCCTGTGACCCTACATCAGGAACACGACAGAACAGAGCTCTCATTTTCTTTGGCACTCCGTATAGCCTACATCTTCTGAAGAAAAAAGAATTAGAAGGGTATGGTGATACTGAAATTGCCCTTTCGTAACCTAGCAGAGCTAGTAAGTTTTCCAGTGTCTGTCTGCCTTGCTACATATCAACCTGTACCATAAAAGGGGGTCAACAAGTTCTTACATAGGACAGTGCTGTGAATTCATGTAATTTGGTAAGAGATTACAGGAGGTCATTTCTTTATGCTTCTCTTTGGCATTTGTTCCACCATTATCTCCAAGTTCTTCATATACACAAGTGTAATGAATTCAATTCCAAAGGGCAAGGGTTAAACACAAGCAAGCAAAATAAATAATTCTAGAAGTACTGAAACTAATGAAGCTCACTTTTCCTTGGGCTTGTGTTTGACAGTTGAAGTCCTCTCTTTTTTAGAGGTACATTGGGGAGCAGGACTAATAAGATGTGAAAAAGATCCAGAAGAAATTTTTCCCAGGATGGGCAGACTTGTAAGTCTCTCATTTCTCTCTTAAGGCTTATGACATGTCTCAGCTGTCCCTTCAGTTGCAGTTCTCTCCTCCACTCAGCATCTTGTTTCCACAAACTTGTAATCACTTAATTATCTCTGAAATATCTATTCTGAAATCAGCCAGCAAGTTCAAAAGGTTCCCGGCAGGGACACAGATACCCAGAGGCAGACAGACACAAACACAAGTCAGCACGATCCTATCAGCTCACAGAAAACCACGCTAAAAACACACACTGAAAACACATGACTGATAACATCACTCACCTCGTGGTCAATATGGAGTTTATGGTCCTTCCAAGCTTGCAGTGACCTGTACAGATCTGTGTCACACTGAACGGTATCGTTCTCCAGGATATAGCATCTTGGCAGGGGAAAGCAAACAACGTTTATTATAGCGGATACACACACACAGCGCAATGCAAACAGCTGGTTTCGATAACCCAACTCCAGGAGAGATGAGAAGCCAGACTGGAAATGACATGCAGAATTCAAAAAAACAATGTTCATTCAAGAGAAGAAGAGTGTGCTATGAGCCAGGAAAGAAGTTTGGATATGAGCTGCCATGGAAATTTTTCAGAAGCAGAAAAATTCAGGAAGAATATTCCTGTCAAGCAGAACCTGTTGACTGCTTAATTTCTATATGCAAATTGTGCTGCACAGAGTTCTTGCTTATTCATTAAGCTGTCTACATAAATAATCTCTACTAACTAGCAAGCACAGAAAGCATTACTCAGGAGCAATTTCCCAATGCATAATTAAGTGATACAGGGGTAGGGGCAAGGATAAAGTACTTATTTATAAGATGTATCACTACACCATAAAGAAAAGGGGGGGGACGGGACGGGGGGGGACACAAAGAAGTTCTGCTATTTTCTCCAAAAGGGATAAAATTTTTCAAAGATATCTCACTGACTTCAAAGGCAAAATAACCCTCTGACAATTTTAAGTGCTTATGTTTCATTAACTCCTAATGCAATCGGGGTTGTAAAATTATTTCAAAAACTCATAAACCAAATGTTTGACAGATTTACCTGAGAAGTTTATTAGGGGTCAACAAATACCATGTAGTCATTTTTTAATGCTTGTTTAAATTAAAGCTGAGTATTTTCAATACTCCTTTATTTTCTTTTAATCAACTCATGCATGTTGTCCCATTGCCTTCTTTTCTGCAAGTATTCTTGGGGACTTCTCATGAATTATGCACAACCTTCCTGACAGTTCCTTGTATGGATTTGGGATTCACCCACTAAGGCAGCAAAAATCAATTGAATTTGTTCCAGGAGAAAAGCACAAATAGTGATTTATGGGTCCCGCGCACTCATGACAGCTGGGGTAAGAGGGCACAATTCTCTGATGTCAATCTCGCTACGTTTCCTCGTATTAGTGAGTCTCTAACCCTGTAAACAGAAGTCAAATAGAAACCACAGATTTCAACAGCAGCTAACTGGATCATGCATGTTTACACGAGCTAGTCATTAAACAATTTAATGCATGTAATCAATAATGATCGGTGGATTTCCTGATAATTCACAAGTGGAAATGGTGGCTAAACTAATTAAGTACAGTTGAAGATATATCACCAGTCCCCAGACTTGCACACTGAGGAAAAGATTTTTAGCTATTAGAGCGCCCAAACAATTCCCTCACCTCTTTCTCAATATGTTCCATTTCCCAATGCTCCTCATCCATCCAACTTCATGATAGAGATTTTCCTTTCCTAGCACTGGCTAGAGAAAGCTCTGAGAGGCTGCTTCCTCCCTTAGGACTGATTTGGAGTATGACATGAACTAGATCATACTCCGATTAGAGCCTTTGGTCTTCAGCCAGGCCAAGTTACCCGCTGCACACTGAGATTTCCATGGGTAGAGCCTTTCCTGATTTCAGATAGGTGTACACACAACTGTTGCAAACAGTTTTGCTTGTCCTCACTGGCAATATGCACTGATCAGTGATTACTGTCTCCAAAGCGCAGAAGACATAAAAGCACTGCTGTAGTTCTTCGGTAGCTTCATGGCCCTCTGTACATGACAAAATTAAAACAAACCCGAAAGCTGTTGTACAGATGAGAAGAAGAATTTTAGTGAAGCTAGACTGGGTATCCAAAAGGGACACAATATCATTATCACAAGTTGCCACATCCATTTATCTAAAGCAGCCGCTTAAGCAGCAAAAGCTTTTCGAAACATACCACATGCGCTCACCTGTGAGTCACTTTTATTAGGTTAGGGGCTGTATATTCTGCAATGCCACCAGTGCCACTGTATTCCCCCATGTCTTTATCTTCCTCCTCACGAAGAATAGCCCTTTGCATCTTGTGTCGCTTGGTGATGTTTCGTGGTAAGACAGGTTGGTATTCATCCTCTAAACCCAAGTTATAAACAGCTCCATCCAGCTCAATAGACACAGAACGGATCGAGCGATTCCGGACGTAGCTTGGTTTGTATTCTGGAATACAAACGGAACGAAAGCGAAAGGATTAAGAGGGGGAGAAACAGCATGTTACAATTGGTCCTTTTTGTGGTTCTTGGGAGAAAAAAAACCCAGCCCATACTGTGACATTTGGAATTAACCGGATGACAAACGGTGTTTGTTGCAGTTGTCTGCAGAGCTGCTGCTTCATTACCTTTCGCATGGATAGATGGATACCTTAAGGCACGAGAGAGAGGGCAGATGTAATGCAAATGCACAGGGACGGCTGAGGGGAAAGAAAATGTACTAGCCCAATAACTCTAAGAGCAAACAGCTCTTCAGAGAGACTCCCCTCTTCCTCCCAAGAGTCACTAGATGGCAGTAAGACCTTAAAAAGATCTTAAAAACGAACCATTACCGTTCAAGACAGCAAGGTCCTGGGTCATCCTTACAGACAGGTTCTCTACTGTTTTCTATTGTCTACTGTACAATGCTCCAGCGCTAGGACTCCTGCAACCCTTCCGTGGAGTTGTCCCCAGTGTTCAACCTGAGCCTCTTCTCAATTCTATGCTCCTTCTTCAAGGTAAGACGCTTGATTTTTTTGGGAGCAATTAATATCTGAATCTTTACCTTTATCCACATCTAATTCTTTTCTTTACAATTATTTTCCTGATGTGCAGATCAGTCAGTGAGTTTCTACATGAAGCACCACCCTCCGGTGCTATGCAGTCCCTCAGGCTTTGCTTCTGCATTTGCAGCCCAAAGGCAAAACGAAACTTTTGCTATGAATTGTCACTGCACAGGAGAAGATTCTCATTGATCTTTTCACTATTACTGCTTTCTAAAGTTCTCTGTCCTGGCCCAAATCCCCAGAGCTCCTCTTCTGTTTGGTCTGGAATGGCACAAATACATCATAGTTATGGAGTCTAAAGCCATATCTAAACTTCCCTACTGTATGATGGGGTCCATCTCTGACCGTATTTCCTGCTCACTCCAACAGCTGCCGAGAGTCACTCATTACATTAAGCATAATCATCTCATTCCTTGAGAAAAAAGTAAAACCAAAGAACCATAACCTCTCTTCTCCTCCCTGCCCAGTGCCTGAGGCTTTGCTCTGCATAGGAGGCTTGGAGCCATCGAAGATGTTACTGGAAACAAGTGAGTCTCTTGGCTCTCCGGTCACCCCCCCTTTACACAGAGCTGAAACACACAGCACATCTCACAAGAAGGGGGCTTCCTCCTGCAATCTGGTAAGGCGAAAACTCAACCAACATGCCAAATGAGAAGACCAATCTTTCTTGCAATCCTACAGAAATCTTTTCCACAGAAAAGCCAACTTTCTCTATGGGATAATCTCCCCAGCAAAACAAGCAGGGGAAAAAAGGAATGGGAGGTAGAAAACCCAAAACTGACAAAAGAAATATTCATGTCAATTGGCGTGCTTTGGCACTAATGCAGAGTGACTTTTCAAGAAGCCTCATATTCATTCCAAATGGATCGCAAAAGTCTCAAAAGCCATTTTGCAGACCGGGAAGAGAAATAAACATCTCCTCCCACCTGAAATTTGTCCAAGCACTATATTCTTGTCAGCACCACACACAGAAAGTGGAATACCAGCTGGATTGTCTGGCTTTGCACATTTTCCACCTGTGGTTAAAAGTTTATTGCCGATATTAAGCCAGGTGAGTCACTGCTGAAGGGAAAAAAAAAACCCCAAAAGACCAACCCTATTTCAGGCACCCATTCAGGAAATGTTTGACTAAATGAGAAGGAAACTCCCATCATTTCAGAAGCAGGAGGAAGTTCCAAAAAGCTACACCCTAACAATTATATTCAAAGTATAAACTCCCATTTCTTTAATTGTTCCCTCATTTCACCTTGTTAAGCTCAGCCAACTAACAATTACCTTCCTTCCAAGTCTAATATGCCAATCCTGCATGTTGGACCTCAGCAGATAGCTTCAGGGAACTGTCGTCTACACACGTCCCTGAAGAATTAGAAGCCAGGAGTTACTCCTCCCTTGCAGCCAAACTAACCCAGCCTTACAGTGAACAAATTGGTCTGGAGTGAGACAGCTCATAAGGACTTGCTGTATCGCTTTATCGCAACGTGCTATCACAGTGCTGACTCAGCGCTGTGATTAATACCAAACTCCATTATTTTCAGAGGAAGCGGTTAAAATATTTTTATAAGATCAATATTCATCTGTGTTGAGCTCTCCCACCTGTAAAGTGCACTGCGAGCATAAATACCAGTGTCTAATTACATATTAGTCGATCCTCCCCCAGGTTTAAGTTTTACTCTCCAATCCTTTTCCCTGTGTACACAGCCCACAAAGTAGATCTAGGGCTGTTAAATATTCGGCCCAATGCACCTATACTCCCTTTTTCAAGTGATTAACGTTCGGCTTTCGTAAGCTCTGTGAGTCTTGATTCCCCTCTTCCTCTGGACTTCCAGAAGCCAGCTGTCGGATAGATGGCACTGCTGAAAAGCCGCATCTTCAGAATTGAGTCTAGAAATGGCATCCAGAGAAACGTTAGGCTAAGAAAGCTGTCTACATTTCAGTGCGCCACTCATCCTGCCGAGTCGTCTTGGACCACTTGACAAGCATGCTTGCCTTCACTGGAGCCTGAAAGGAAGGACACTGTTCTGGTCCAGATTCCCCCAGACAGTCTAGAGACTCAAACACACCCCATTTTTTACAACTATTTTTTTGGTGGCACCTCAGGTTGCAACACTGTCTAGCGAGAGCATGAACTGCAGGATCCAAAATTGTTATTCAACTGAATAAAGCGAGGCAATGTTGTATTATAAAACCAAAAACATCGTATCTGACATAAACATGCCGAGCCCCACCTCCTCATCACCCAAGCCCTATTACTTATTTTGCAGCCGCCAAATTAATGATTTAACACCAAGACCATTTGGAAACGCTAGTTCTCTCAGGGACAACTGAGAGATTGTACCCAACTACAACTACTCTGTGGCGATTCCTGCAAAGCAAGAGTGTGACGGCTCAGACGGAACACTGCAGA